ATGCTAAAAAAGCAATTTAAATCTAAAAGATTCAAACCTTAACCCCTTCTGTTTAGGGCTGCCAGATTGAGCAAATAAAACATTCAGATACAAGATAAGTATATTCCAAATACCAGATGGGACACACATACTAAAAAGTTATTTGTTTATGCAGTGACATGATCACGGCTCACTGCAACCTCTGCCTCCTGGGTTCAAGCGATTCTCCCGCCTCAGCCTCCCAAGAAGCTGGGATTACAAGCGCCTGCCACCACGCCTGGCTAATTTTTGTATTTTTACTAGAGACAGGGTTTCACCATGTTGGCTAGTCTGGTCATGAACTCCTGACCTCAAGTGATCTACCCACCTTGTCTTCCCAAAGTGCTGGGATTACAGGTGTGAGCCACCGCACCCGGCCACTGGGAACTTTTGATCTGTCTTTTCTAAGCAACTTTATGAGATAAAATTTATAAACCATACAATTCACCTACTGAAAGTGTAAAAATTAGTGGTTTTTAGTATGTTCACAGAGTTGTGCAACCTAAATGTCTACTTTTGTGCTTATTTAAATGCTCTTTTGTAAAGCATTCTGTTACTAAGATTCCGATTAACTTTCCTCTCTACATGCCACAATATCTATGCCCTCTTCCTTCCTGGAGTTCTTTTTCTTTTTTTCCTTTTCTGTTCTTTCTTTTTAGTTTCTCTTAGTTATTTTCCATTTGTGATTACACTTTTTTCTTTTTATTAATTTTAAGAATTACCCAAAGTAAAATAAAAATACATTTTCACTGTAAAAGATTCAAAAGCAAAAATATATACAGAAAAAATTTAAAGTTTCCTTTCCTGTGCCTTCCACTCCTTCTTTTCCTAAGGAAACCACTCTAAATAGATTGGTGTATATTCTTTGGGTCCCTTCCATTTCAAGGATTTTATATACAAATATTTATGTATATACACACATCTCTCTCTCTATATATATATTTTTAATGAGATCCTACTAAATGTATTGCTCCGCAAGTTACCTTTTTCTTTTTACACTATGTATTGGTCATCTTCCCATGTCAATACATATAGATTTACTCCAATCTTTTGAATTACTACCTAGTATTATTTAGTTACCTCTCAATAATTGTTGATACTTTTTATTGTTGTTTTGTAGTGTTGGTGGTGAAGATGGTATTTGCAGAAGTGTGTGGAAGCTAAAGGAAAGGGAAAGGAGAAATACAATAATGGGACAGTCTTGCAAACTCTCTAAGACAGAGAGAACTCTGTAGGCACTATGCTAGGCAGACAATCTAGCGGAATCACACAATATAGATGTAAAACAGAAAAGCATGTCAAGGCAGGGTGTACATAAGATGTTAAATGAATGGCAGAGACCCAAGATAATTAAAATTATATGTCCACACAAAAACTTGTACACATATGTTTACCACAACATTATTCATAATACCCAAAAAATGGAAACAATTCAAATGCCTATCACCTGATGAAGAGATAAACAAATTGTGGTATATCCAAACACTGGAATAGTATTCTGCCATAAAAAGGATACATGCTACAATAAGGATGGACCTTGAAAACATAAGTGAAGGAAGCCAGTAACAAAAGGCCACATTTTATATGATTCTATTTATATGTCAAGTCCAGAAAAAGTACAAAAATTAGCTGGGTGTGGTGGCATGTGCCTTTAGCCCCAGCTACTTGGGAGGCTAAGGTGGGAGGATCACTTGAGCCCAGGAGGCTCAAGCAATGAGCCTCAAGTTGCAATGAGCCAGGGTCACACCACTTCACTCTAGCCTGGGTGACAGAGAGAAACTCTGTCTCAAACAAACAAAAACTGTAGAACCCAAACATTACAGGAATTCAGGAAGGAGAGATAAAGGGGGGCAGGGCAGAATTGTTGGAAAGGGCTTCATGGAGAAGGACTTGCACTAAACTCAAGAGATGAACACAGGTTAATTAGGTAGAGATGCAGGGGACAGTTTTGTAAGCAGGAAAAAGGACTTAATGAAAGGCTTGGCATTGAGACTAGACAAGTTCTATGATAGTACAGTAAGTATGAAAATCTGAAGGAGGCAGAAAACAAGAACTTCAAGTCAGGACTTTAACATTAGGATAATGATATTAAATTTTATCTCAGAGAATCCTAGAAAGATTTTGAGCAGGGGAAAACGTGATAAACTGGAATTTCAGAAACATTAATATGATAGATTTATAGGGGAACAGAGTGCAGACAGAAAGACCACTTAAAAGATGGCTGTAATAGTCAACACTTAAAATGATGAAAGGCTGAACTAAGAAGTGATAGAAAATAGAAAGGAGAGGCCCGGCATGGTGGCTCATGCTTGTAATCCCAGAACTTTGGGAGGCCAAGGCGAGTGGACCATTTGAGGTCAGGAGTTCAAGACCGGCCTGGC